AGGGCCGTCACACTTCCGCGGGAAGGGCGCGCGCGGATCTTCCTTTTTTACAACGCCGGCCCCGCCGGGTCCGCACCGAGCGGGGCGGCCCCAGCCCCAGCCCCGCTCCCCCCTGCGCTACCTGGATGACCCGCATGTTGAGGCCGGTCTCCTGGGCCAGCTGCTCCCTGATGTGCCTCGTGGGCTTGGGGGTGGCGGCGAAGGCGGCTTTCAGCGTCTCCAGCTGCTTGGCTTTGATGGTGGTGCGCGGCCCCCGCCGCTTGGCGCCCAGGTTCTGGTCGTCGTTCTCGTTGCTGCCCGTCTCCTTGTCCGACACGTTGGCGCTCTCCGAGTCCTTGGCGTCGTCCTGGGAAGGATCTTGCGAGTCCGGGGACAGGCTGGGTTCACTGCCGGTGGTGGCTGGGCAAGGGCAGGAGGCATCACACTCGCGCGGGGCAGCGGGTGGCAGCTCCTGCAACCCCTCCCCAGGCTCCCGGGAAGGGAAGGGCAGGGCAGCCCCGGAGCCGCTCGGCCCCTTTCCCAGTGCAAGCAGCCCAGGCGGGGAGGCTCGGGCTCGCCGCCCCGTCGCAAGCGCAGCGAGGCGCCGGCTTCCCCCGGCGCAGACGGGCGCGGAGGCCGCGGGGCAGGGCAGGGCGGCGCTCACCTGAATGCAGGCTGTTCTCTTTGGCGGTATTGCTGTTGCTCAGGTAATCTTCTTTGCAGACGAACTTGTTCTCGTCGATGATGTAGAGCTCCTCGCCGGTGGAGAGCTGCTTGTTACACATCATGCAAGTGAAACAGTTCAAGTGGAACACTTTGCTCCGCGCCCTCCGGACCAGGTCGCTGGGGGAGATGCCCTGCGCGCAGCCCGCGCACTTGGTCCCGAAACACCTGGCGGGGGAGACACACGGGAGCAGGGTCAGCGCGGCGGGCAGAGCAGCCGGCCACCGAGGACAGCACAGCCGGGGTGCAAACCCCCGTGTCCTTCCCCAGCGCTCCGCTCCGCTCCGCTCCGCTCCGCCCGCCGCCCCGCACACGGCTCGCCCTGTCCCCGGGCCTCTGTCCCTGCAGCACAGGGATCAACCTGTCCGCATCAACCCTCCGCCGCGGGCCTTAGCCTGTGCTCTGCCTTTCTGTATATACAGCCGAGCACACGTGTGTACGTGTGCATTTATATACACCCACCCACGCGTGTACACATACACATCCATGCACACGCACATATATGTATATATGCGTGGATGTGTGTGTGTGTGTATACACACACACATATATACACCCCTATATAGACACATACCTATACACCCATATATATGTATATACATAAACATATATATGTATACAGCTATACACATACAGACATATGTATATACACACACACATTCACGCATATACTTATATAGTTGTGTGTATATTTACACGCACATATATGTGTATATATATGTATACACGTGTGTATATATATGTATATACAAATATATATATACAAACACATACAACCACGCATACAGATACAGATATATAGATACAGCTATAAATATAGGGGGGTGTGCGTGCGCATGTATGTGTATATAAACATATAAATATATATATATGTATATTTATATGCGTGTATACACACACACACACACACACATATATATATGCATGCGCGTGGGCATACACGTGGATACACACACACACTTCTATCCACCTGTATGTCCACATCCACGCATGCAACGTGCGTGCACATGCACACAAGGGCGGGATGGACGATGCCCCGTGGACACGAAGCGGCGCGGGGCCGTGCGGGGTGTCCGCCCGCGCACGGGGCGGAGGAGGCGCCGGGAAGCCGGAGGGTCGCGGCTCGGCCCCGGGCCCGCGCTGGGCTGCGGG